GTCTTTTCTGAGTTTTGGCCCTCTGCTACTAAAAACAATCCTTGGATAGCAGGAAGAGCATGACAAGAAAAGTGCTGCTTATATGAACGTTGTCAAAGAGTGACAGATGCCTTTGAGTATGATTGTGTTTTGGAAGTCTGTTTCTGATTGATTTACACATCTCTACAACTTGACAAAATGCTTCCTACCATTGCAGTTGACACAGGGAGCTATGTCAACTGCAACTGCTGCTGGATGCTGCATGCTAGCATTTAACAACTAACATGAATTGTTTCCATTAAGTTTAGCATTATTTAGTATTACTAAACTTTTTTGTAGAATGCTAGTTCTACACCTGTCCTTTGAATGCTAATAATAATAGCATTTTATTTATTGTCACCAGGTTTATAATTTTTAGAAAACCTGGTATTTACTGTAAATGAAAACAAGAAGCAACATTTATGATTATTAACTATATTAATACGCAGGGCATCCTGCCATGTACCCTCCATTCCAGTGTTATTTTTCTGGTGTGCCCGCACTTTGGGACCTTATGGGGTACACATTTTGGTTTTTTCAGTACTCTGGCCAAAACAGGGCAGAGGCACTGCCACTGGGCTCTGCACATGGGAAGCTGCACGCAATGCCATGTGCCTTCTACCACCAGGCAGCCAGTGCACAGAAGGCACAGAAGGCATGGCCATGAGGCAACGGCAGTCTGCCCCCGCCCCATGCACAAACCGGGGGGGGGGGCAGATGCCCCCCCATGCCTACCCTGGGGTATACATAGGGGTGGGAGCACCCCCCCCATGCACCTGGATGAGCCGCCTGGGGCTCCCACCATTCTCTCCCACCCCACTCATCCCTGCTTCTGTCCCACTCCCTCCCTCACCATGGGGGCATCAATCTGGCCCCACCCCTTCCCCCCAACACACTTACCTGCTGGGCACTGCTGCGGCCAGGTTGTGTTCCTGGGTGACTGCAGCAGGCTGGGCTTGTGTCTGTGTGCTCACTCCCTGCCCTTCCCCCCAGCCTTCCACGTACCACTCACAGGGTGTATCATACCACAGTTTGGAAACTGTCGCTTTAGGCCTTACCCAAACAATTCCTAGCTCATGGCAAAACTACCTGCTACCAGTCAGTCTCCGCATGAAAAAAGTCTCCCGCACTAACTCCTCCCTACCCCATCCCCATGTTTTTAAAGACATGAGGCATGGATATAACATTTAATAGAAATTAGGTTGCATGAAACTGAGCTGAAAAACTGCTTCCTCAGCATGCCTGAAAAAATTTCCAGAATTATGTGTAGGCAGAGCTGCTATGTGACACACCATCCACATATTTACACAGTATTATTCCCTTGATATTCCCTTAATTTGGCCATCCACTGCTCTCCTGAGTTATCAGTCTTCCACAAAGGAATCCAGAAGGACAAATACCAAGAAAGAAATGGTTGGCTATGTAGATCCTATCATTAGAATTTCTTTCTCACTACTTCAGAGTTCTTATCTCCCTTATGAATCTAAATCAATAAAGGAAAAGAATGGCACTGAGATTGCATATCCCTGTGCTTTTTGAGAGAATAGTATCAGGGTTTATAAGACCTATGCATCATCCCTCACTACCAACAGAAGCCAGGGAGTTCTAAACTTGGGTGCATGAGTACCACCAGTGAATTGATCTGCATGGACAAAATATCTCAGAAGTAACATTCAAGATAAATAGCTGTTCTTTCCTTGAATTGTTTTGTTGTGTGAAATTTCATGGCTTTAGATGTGCATTATTTAATCTATTCCTGTTCATGATCCTAGTAGGAGACTGAAAAGGAAAGCTTATTTTTTAAAATTAATTTAGGGGTAATTTATGTTCACGATATTTTAGCAAGGCAGATATTCCTTTCAGAATATGCTGAAATTTATTAACCTAAAAGGAAAAGGAGGTGAATAGCCAAATAGGAAGCATTCATTCATCGAAGACAATCTTTGTCTCTACACCTCAGTGTGCTATTCAATTTCTGTCAAATATGTCTGTGTTTCTATACACTAAGGAAAAGGAACCACAACAATCTGTTGTGTCTTTAGAAACACAAGCTGTGTTTGTCTGGCTGAAAAAATAAATCTGTCAAACTAGTAAATATATTATGGTGCTTGACAAATGTGTTTTTCCCAATTAAGTTTAAGAATTTTTCTCTTAGATGTTGTTGAAAAAAATAATGTATACGCCTTTGCATAACATTCTGATGATCCTAGCTATGAACAGATATTAACAAGTCCTACCCATCTCACTGATTTTTTGATAAATGCAATCTTTCATGTGGGGAAACCAAGGCAGAAAAGTGACGCAATTTAGGTAAGGTCACATAGCAAGCCTTTCCAGAGTACAGAACACAGGTGTGGTAGACTACTTCCTGCAATGCCATGCTTCCTGGACAATCTATGTTTTCAGGAGGACTTACTCTATGCCACGTAGTCAGCCATGAGTCTGGAAAAATCCTTTATTTTACATTCTGCCTTCCAAAAAAAGGTGCATATATTTGGGGGCATACTGAATGTGAGAAACTATGGCATTCTCTTTCCCTGTTTGAGAGAGAGAGAGAGAGATTGTGAGATATTCAACTATTAGAAACAATGCAAATTTGCTTATGACTGTTCTGCAGGTACCAATACATCTATTAGTGCTAGCAGAAAATGAAGATGAAGATGTATGATGACAAAGACAAAACTGACATGGGGTCAGTATATGAAAATCAGAACATCAGTATAACAAGTATTTTTTAAACTGAATCTTAAGATCTATTACAAATTTAGCAAACCATATGCACACATTTCATAAATTTCATATCTATGAAATGTGTGAAATCTATGAAATGTGTGCATATGGTTTGCTAATCATACATCATTTTAGATTGATAATTGCAATCGATGTCACTCTACAGGCTTTAATTTTACACCGACTCTGCTTCCATATATACAGAGTATTAACACATCTGCAATAGAAAGCATTTTGGAAAGAAAACAGAAAATGGAAAGAAACTAGATATTTTTAATTAAAGGCAAGTTTGAAACTGGAGATGGAACCCAATAGGTATTAAGTGGGTAAGAAAAAGACGAAAGGAGAAAAACTCAGTTTGTTCTTCTGTTCTCACCATGGCAGAATAAGTGGCTAGAGCAAAAGCAGGTGAGGAATAGGAGATTAAGGTGCATGGAGAAAATGTATGAAGTGGCTGAGAGTATGGCAAACAAGCCATCAGTTTGCAGGTGTGCATGGTTGCAAATCTACATAAATGGGAGACCACAGGGATTTTTCCTTTGCAAATGTTGTATTATTTTGCTGTACTAAAGATTCAGATTTCTTCTAGTATGAAATGTTTGTTACTGTATCTTTGCTTGTCTTCACTAGGCCTGCTTTATGTAAAGCTTCTGTGAGATAGACAATTCATTCCCAGAGATATGATGAATCAAGGGTGAAGGACCTCCTCTGGCCAAATTGTTAAACTTGCTGATGTAGTCGTAGCATACAAATAACTTTCACTGTGTCAAATTGTACAAAATCTCTTATGCTTTTTCTGTTGTTTTTTATTGTCTAAATCATACTGATCCACAATTTTTTCCCCTAATATTGATCAGTCTCCCCAGTAAGTCTGCTAAACCAGAGTTCAACACATAAAGAACATCTGGAATTATGATAAGATTGAGGCATATTTCAGCTTCAATTTAAGAAAATTTCCAGTACAGGCAGTCCTCGACTTATAACGTTTCGAGTTACAACACTTCACACTTACAACGTTTCTAAATTGACACCCTGTTTCAACTTTCTGAAGCCAGTTTTGACTTTACAACACTTGACCTGATGTGATGCCATGCCGGTGAACAAGTTGCTGTGTCACCTATCTCCCTGGAGAGCATCTGTTCAAACTTCCTTGGACGCTTTCTTTAAGAAAGCAGACAGAACTCCAGAAAAACCTGCAGCCAAGACTCCTGAGAAAAATCCAGCCAAGAACCCTTCAAAAAGTCCAACCAAGAGCTCTTCAAAAAGTTCAGCAAAGTCACCTCAAAGAAGTCCTTCCAAATCAATATGATTGCTATTTGCAATATAAATACATTAATGTAGCTATATTACTCATCTATAATTGATTCAGTACAAAATTCTGGGTTATTTTTTGGTGAAAACAGGGTATTGGGCCTTGGTTCAGGAACCATTCCCCCATTTATAACATTGTTTCCTATGGGAAAATTGGTTCTGAGTTACAATGTTTTGACTTAAGACGCCGTTTTCAGGAGCCAATTGTGTCATAAGTCTGGGGACTGCCTGTACTAGAAAAGGGAGGCACTTCAGCTATTACAAACAGAACTGTTTCTATCCACCTAGGTTAGAGATATATAAAAGACAAATATAAAACTGTTCAACTGGTGTGAAAGCAAGCCTCTAGTTTATAAAGGATTCACTAGTCTGAAGCTAACAGAGCCTGCTCTTTAAAACAGTGATAACATATCTAAAGATAAAACAATATGTATTTGAAACACAGTTCATAGCCAGGAGAATATAAACCTTTTTCAATAGATACTGTTTAAAGGTGATTTTTTTCAGTGCCAATGTAAAGCATTCACCTTCCAAGTAATGTCTTAATTTCTTATTACAGTACAGGAATATAGACTGTCTAAACATAAACATACAAGTTTGTGATTAGTCAGGTTTGACAGGATCCCCAGACAAGCCAGCTGGTGATTGTACCTGGGACCTCTGGAATTGGAAGCATGAGCCTCTACTCCCTGAGTTTAGGGTCTAGGCCAGGGGCAGGCAAAATACAGCCTATGGGCTGGATCCAGTCCACCAAGCAATTCCATCAAGCCCACAGGCCCCTCCATAAGTCCTCTGTAAGCCCTGGCCCTGAGCTGCCCCTCTGCAAGCCAGTGCATCCCTGCAGGAGGTGCAACCCTGCTTGCGAAGCAAGCACCCCCATGCCAGACTGGCCTGACCCCCCCCCCATCTGCCCCAAGCCAGGGGGTGCCGGAGACAAAGAACCTCTGCCTGGCAGAGGCTTGTGCCTGAGCACCCCGTGGCTGTTTCCAGCCTCCCTACCTGCGAGACTGGGAATTCAGGTAAGAGTCTCACTGAGCTGGGGCCAGGAACTCCCGCTGAGGGAAACAGGGACAGGAGCACAAGGACCATGTGCTATGGGGCTGGACTGGGCTAGCCCTGCATGCTGCAGGAGCACAGGAGCTCTTGTGTTATGGGGCTGAGTCAGGCTGGCCCCACACACTACCACGATGTATGGCTGGAGACTCCGGTGGGAGCTGCATATTATGGGTCCAGGTGGGACTGGCCCTGTACACTACCACCACATGCAGCCAGGAACTTGGTCAGGAGTATGGGGAGCTGCATGTTATGGGGCCGGTAGGGCTTACCCTGTACGCTGCCACCACATGCAGCCAGGGACTCAAGCGGGGGCACAAGAGCTGTTTGTTATGGGGCCAGGTGGGGCTGGCCCTGCACCCTGATGCTACATACAGCCAGGGACTCAAGTGGGACTCCTATTGGGCTGGGTGGGGCTGGCCCCGCACACTGATGCCATGTGCAGCCAGGGACTTGGGCAGGGGCTATGTGTTATGGGTGGGGCTGCCCCCCCATTCTACCACCATGTGTAGCTGGGGACTGGGGTTGGAGCATGGGGAGCTGCACGCTATGGGGCTGGGTGGGGCTGGCCTGGCTCCCTGCCACCACATGCAGCTCCAGGGACTGCACAATCCAGGGACGTCATGGACCCCCCTCTCACACAGCTCCACTCTCTCCCACCATAACTCTACACACTCCCACAACCCCCACTCCCACACCCACATGGTCCCAAGATGGTGACCAGGAGCTGGGGCACGTCAAGGAATGAGGCTACCCTTGCAGCCCTCGACAGCTCACCAGAATTTGTTAAGCGGCCGGCCAGCCAAAATAGGTGCCCACCCCTGGACTAGACCTATTAATAAGAAACCACTAACAGAACCAAACTTCAAGTACAGTTAAACTGTTAGACTGGGACAGAAAGCTTCATGTTAATGGGGTTGCCCAAGGTTTGATATAATGTCTGGTAGGTATTTTCATATAAGAATTTTGTTAAAATCTTGATTTAGAGGCTCAGTTTTGCTTTTACAGCAGGTATAACAGTTCAAGGTTTTGGCTGCTTTTCCCACCCAACACATCTACATGTTGACTATAAAACACAGAATTGTGAAGATTGGATATCGCAATAAGTCACATTTAAATGATTCTTCAGGCTTTTTAGAATACAATGTGATATGTTATCCCATTTAAGCTTTTATTTTACTACTAGCCAATTGCCTGTCAAAAATGTCAGGGGGTGGGGCAGCCTGCATCCGGCCCTGCTCCCCCCCTTTGGGGCTGGGACCACTCTCCTTCCCCCTCCCCCCTGATGCTTTGGGGGCCAGGGCCAGACTGCCCCCCCCATCTGCTGGCCCTGCCCCCTATCCATTCCGTTGCCACCATCTGCAGGGCCGGGGGTGTGTGGCCAGTGGCACAGGCCTTGCCCCCCTGTCCTCTCCATTTTTGTGGCCTGCAGGGAGCACAGGGGAAGGGCCCTGCCCCCGCCCTCTGTCCACTCCATTGCTACCACCTGCAGGGTCAGGGGGCCAAGGCCAGTGGCACTGGCCTTGCCAAAGGCGGGGGTGGGCCCAGCACCACTGGCCTGTCTGCTCCGTTGCCTGCCCGGGGGAGTGAGGACACAGGCCAAGGGCCAGGCTCACTCCCCCCACCCTTGCCCTGGCCACTTCGGGGCTGTGGCCACTTCCCCAACCCCACTCAGGGAACTAGCAGAGACAGAACCCAGTGTCCAGCCCTGCACCCCCAATTCAGGCCTGACCCTGTTCCCCTGGCTCCCCTCCAGTCACTTTGAGCCCGACCCCATTCCACCCCCAGCAGTTTGGGTTTGGGACTGCTCCCCTTGTTCCCCCCTTCACCGTGGTTGCCCTGACCCCATTTTCCCCACTCACACTGCTGTCTCCTCCATGGAGCAGGAGGGTGCTCCCGGGGGCGTGCTCCCCCATCCTCCTACTCCACCGCAGGGCTGTGCCCACCCCCCCACCCTCCCTACTGCTGTTGCGGGGCCTGGTGCGCCCCCCCCATACCCTCCATATTGGGGCCAGGCCGAGCTTGGCATGACCCCCCACCATCCCCACCTCTGCCACCTACAAGGAGCGAGGGGCAGGGTGGGGCCTCCCCTCTTCCATCTGCTCCATTGCCGCCACCTCCAGGGAGCAGGGCAGGGGACTGGCCTTGCCCCCCCACTCCATCCCCTGTGTCCCCACCATCATGGCAGTGCTCCGCCATGCTGCCACCTCCTGTCCAAATGCTCTATTCGCACTCTGATTGGTTGTTTCCATCAGCCAATCAGAGTGCGAATAAAGCACTATGGACAGACAGACAAGCCTACGACTTTTATAGTATTAGAATGAATAATTAGCAGATAGTACAAAATTGACTGCAGAGTCACATTTCAGATTCGGTGAGTATGTGTCTTTTTTCCAGAGTCCAAGAAATTATTTTCAATCTGTTACTAAGTTAGTAATTTCCTTAGCCTCTTTTCTAGGTTGTTGTATAATCAGTCCAGCCCTATAGCTCATTCTCTTTTCTCTTATGGCAGTTTGAGAAAGATTTGTACTGCTCTGATTGTTTTTCCAGTATCTTCTGACAGACACATTGTTTCTCTTTTTGACATCTCGTCTTTGGTGTACCCTCAGAACATTGCCTAAAAGAATAGATTTAAATTCTTTAGCTAAATCCTATTCCTATAATACTAAATTCCTTCCACTATCTCTTAGTGGTTGGATGGGTTCCCTCAGTCTATTTCTTTAAATAAACTTTTACTGGTTTTGTGCACTTCCTTTTCTCATTATATATTCTGGATTTCTTGATTATGTTTTATACCTTTTCAACTTTGATTTATAATCATCTTTATCTTTCTATACATATACAGTACACGGCCACCTTTGTATCATTTTACTACCAGTTCAGTTATTCACATACTTTGGTTATGACCCTACGTATCTCACTGAAGGAAGCATTTCATGATGTGGGGCCCATAATGGGTTCCATACCAGCTAAGACCAATGATTCAGCTAGTCCAATATCCTACTGGATTTTGACCAACAGGCCCTAGACAGACACGCTTCAACACTGTGCTGATGTTCGGACCCCATACAGGCACTTTAAAAGAGCTGCGAAGGCATGCAACAGCCTCCAGTCTCTGGAGTTTCCCAAAGACAGCAGAGCACACAAAACAGAGCTAATTGGTTGTCTGTCCCTTTCCTTCTCCCACCCCATAAGGATAGAGTGGGGAGCAGAGCATTGTGGGAGGCTGGAGGACTATTAGATGAGACAGACAGCTCAGGGAGCACTTCAAAGGGGTTTCTTTTTTTAAGGGTAATTTTAGAAGCACTTTACAGGTCTGTATCCTTGCCGTCTGGAGTACATCAAACAGCATGCCTGTACACAGCCAAAAAAGATGAAAGAAACTCTGTAATGGAAGATATGAAATAGCTAGCTGTTACAAGAATTTTCCTCAGCACCAATTGTCAATTATTGTCTTATGCAGTGAGGTAAGAGGCTTCATGTCCATTAACCATTTTTATTACAGTAAATCAAAATACAGACGATTCTTGAAACATTTCAAACTATTTTGTCTTGTGCTTCAAAAAAGGAAATATATTTGTGTGTATATGATTATTTATTAAAAATAGTAGTTATTCCTTCCGCTAGTGAACAAGAATGGAGAAAAACATTGCAAATTATTTCAACAATAATAACTGAATTTTGAGATAGTAAATATATCTGGAAATCTTTTGTTTTGAAACCAGGTCTGTTTTTTAAGCAATCTGTTCTTGAGATATTTTCATCTTATTCTTAATAAGTCTTATGTCACTAGGTGCTTGTTTACATAAACATCTAATTCTTGTTTTTAATTATAATATGTGGGCCTCAATAATATCCTTTGCCAGGAAATGTTACAGCTTAACAATATATCGTATAAATAGATATTTTCTTTTATCTTTTTTTTCCAATTTAGTCTGCTGTTCCCTTGTATTAGAGGAGGATACATTTACATTCCTATTTTGAATTTAATAACATTGGTTATTTAATGTAAATATTATGACTTCTCTAATTAGAAGTGCTACTCCTTTCAATACTTCATCACTTGTGTAAGCCATCTTTCTATGAAAAGTAAAAGCTAATTAGGGGACCAAAAGCTTTTAGGTCTTTGGCCAGGCCAGGTGGCTAAATTTTCTGGACCAATGTTGGTTATCAAAAGAAAAGAAATTGTGGCTCAGGATTAGGGTTTATAAAGTTTATGAAAGCAATTAACCAAAACATCCAAAAATAAAGCTAAGAAAATAAAATCAAAGCTAGCATTACTTCTATTAAAATAAAAAATTAAGTGATGCAACTGTAGTCTCAATATTGGACTGAAATTAAATCAGAAGATGCAAAAGAATAATCAACCCTTAAATTCTGAGCAGGTGTCTTAGCAGGTGACTCCATTTGATGTGAAGCCCTGAAAAGTTGTACAAATCAATCAGCTGTATGATTTGGAGCTGGCAGCAGAGGCCAGGACACAAATCAGTGGGTTTAAAACAATGGAAAGGTATATTTAATTTAAATATAACAACAAAAACTTCCCAATTGTCAGAACACAAGAGCAAACTAGACAGGGAAGCTGTTGAATCTCCTTCACTAGAAGTTTTCAAGAAGAGGCTGGATAAACACTTGTCTGGAATAGCATGAAAAATGTTTCCTGCATTTTTGCAAGTGACTGGGCTAGATGAAACTTGAGGTCCTTTCCAATCATTTATTCTAATGTTAATACTGTAGTCGAGTTTTTGTATGTTGTATATATCAGAACCTGAGAATCTAAGTGCCATTATAAAGCTTCATCAGATTTCAGTTCTTGCATGTCAGTTATCCCTCCTCTACCCCAGTAGACAGATGTCTCAAAAATCTTGGAATAAAACTGAGAGCTTTCTCAGCTACAAGTGAAAGACAAAAATATAGAAAAGGAAAATTATATATCAAGGGTTCATGAATTTTTCAACTTTGAATTTTTCGAAGCTGAGTCTGTTGTCGAGAAGCCAGACAATGTTATTACTGCAGTCCTTATTATAGCGGATTCCTCATATTGGAATCACTTTGGGAATTGGTGATTTGATTCTATTAACCAGTTGATTCCATTAAAAGGAGACCCGTTTTTTTAAGAACACGGATATTCACTCCTTCCTCAGAGCCCCTTGGTCTGCAGACAGAACCCTTGTCTCCAGGCTGTGGAAGCTGCCTGGCATGTCTGCTGGAGGCTGGGATCTGGGGTTCAAGCACTCCCACTTTTGGAATGTGCTTGCTGGTGGAGACTCTGGAGGGCCAGGTGAGGGAGCTCCAGGAAGAGTTGAGTAGACTGCGAACCATCAGGGAACACGAGGTGAATATCAACACTTACTGTCAGGCCTGACACCGGGAGAAGGGTGCCAAGAAGACCAGGCAGAAAAGCAGGCTTGAGCAAGATGCTCCAACTGATGGCACATGGAAATCGGACATATCAAGCCCAAAGCCACAACATGCATCAGTTGCTCCACCAATAGCCCTGCACAACAACTACACAGCCCTCGCACCATTGATAGACAAGGCCTCCGCATCCTCCACATTGAATACAGGACAGGAACAGCCACCCCCACCAAGAAAGTGGGGATTGTTGTGGGAGACTCCTTGCTGCGAGGAACTTCTGTTCATCCAGACCCTTTGCTTGAGAGGTCTACTGCCTCCCAGGAACCAGGATCCAAGATGTAACAGCAAGGATCCCAAAGTTGGTCCATCCTGAGGACCAATAACACATGCTCCTTGTCCACGTGGGCGCCAATGACACAGTAAGAAACAACCCTGGGAGAATTTTGAGCAACTACAGGTCCATGGGGGTGAAGCTCAGGAACTAGGCGCACAAGTGGTCTTCTCCCCAATCCTCCCAGTTAGATGAAGGCTTCAGAGATGGTGTCACCATGTTGGTTTTGGATTCCTCAACCTTGGCATGCGGTTCAATGGCACTGGTCTACATGCTAGAGAGGGTATTCACCTCACAGGCAAAGGAAAGAAGCTCTCCTCTATGGGAATCACTGACTTGCTGAAGAGGGCTTTAAACTAGGCATGTCTGGGGAA